GAGAACAAATAAAGTAGGACTGACAGACGGACTTCTAAAGATGAGGTGCACATGACACTTCAGACAAATCTCATATCGTAATGAGTGAGGAAAGTAAATATGTATAAAATGCAAAATATAAATTTATATGATAAAGCACATTTTTGAGACTCGATATGTTGTAGCATGAAAAATAAATTTGTGTGGATCTAGATCTAAAACGGACAATATTTATCAACATTCTCGGTGCGATTACATATTTATAATTTGTAGCTGATCATTCAAAGGGGTGATCTAATGGTTGATAAAGTAAAGAGAATTATGAAGATTTTTGTTCAAATTCTACTAGAGACAAAAAAACACTTAAAGAGATTTCTTTTCATCTGCTTAAGTTTTGTTGGATAGAGATACTCGATGCTTATGCTGGTAGAAAATAACAAGTACTAGATAGAAAAGTCGAGGTACATCCAAACTAATCCTGACTCTAATAACGACAATAAGAAAATATATATTTGTTACTTGTTTTCAAGTGACATAATTATATAAATATTTTTAAAATTTTTACATTTTATATAGGTTGAACTCACGATGCAAACCATTTATGGAAGCATCTCAATCAACAATAAATGGTTATAACAAACATTTGGTACAAAATAATTCATGACGGTGCTTAATACGACATAGGTCCAAACATACATGAAAAATAATGCATGGAGCATATATAACAAAATTTAAATATGTAACAATGTCAGAAGTCTTGTGCCAAAAAATATAATTGACCAAATATTATAATTTCATCATAAACGAACATTGGTCCATTTTAATTATTCATAAATTTTTTTATCCATTTTAATTGTGTTGACAAATGAATTATATTCAATTTATGTATAATTTTTTCAAGAAATTTAGCCAAACACGCTATAATTCAACATGACATCTTGGAGGATCAAATCAATTGGAAATTATGGCTTCACTTTGAAACACGCATTTGTGTTGAAAATAATTTTATAAAACATTAATTGTTACGTGTTTGGATAAAAAGTCTTAAAACTGGTGATAATGACCTTATGAATTTTGATTGATTCTAGCTTATAATCACTTTAATATTTACTAAACGTATAGATAAACTAAAAAGTGCTTATAAACCAATTTGACTATCTTATAAGCCTTCAAACATCGTATAAGCAATAAAAGGCTAAATTCATGTCGGTCATGTTTTTGTTGACGAGACGAAAATAACTACGTCTTAATCCCAACTAAATCGATAATGTATGAATTTTCATTATCCATGTTTGTCCATTTAAATAAGTTACACCTAAAGTTCAAATAATTTAGGTTAATTAGACAAATGTTGAATAGTTGGTCATATATGAATGTTTGGTCAATTATTTCTGACACGTGACTTCCACCGGAGCTTCTGCACACCTCGTTGCATCTACAATGATTAAAATTAGTGGATAATCGAGATCGGATTCATGATTTGAAATTTATAAATTATTATAACGAACTCAATTATATGCTCCGGTTCAGTTCATTACTTTGCATTTTTTTTTTAAGTTAGAAGATTAGTTGGAAATTTGTGTCCCGAGCAATTCACGTACTATTTAGAGTCTTCATAAATAGTTCAGAATCATAAGTTCGTTTAGTTGATTAGGCATCGAGTGTCAATCGCGACTCGATAAGAAATATTCCTTTATAATTAAATTACACCGTAATTTTCAAACATATCCTTTTACTATAAGGTTTAAATTGATCTCGTCCAAGAAAGGTATAAATGTCACAACAAAATGCTTTGCCGAGTAAGACGTATTTCTTGTTTTGTTTTTTCGGTTTTCCTACTAGTTATTTGTATTGAATTCTCCGATTAAATTTGAATTCATATATTGTAGGTGAAGTAATTTTAATAGCAAAGCAACAACAAAATGTGTACCTTAACACTTGCAGTGAAAATTGTTGACAATCTCTTTGATGTAGATTGCTCCAAATCTGAACAGTCACAAGATCGACTCCGTCTCTCAAAAAAAATGTAGTGCAATTCATAAACTAAGAGTCGTCTTAATTAGTGTGTAGATTGATTTGTGTAAGAAACTAGGATAGTTTATTCTTTTCTGATCTTTTGTTTTTTCTTTTACGTTCTTCCCTTTTTTTCCACGTTCAAAAGACTCTTCCACAAGAAGTCTTTCAAAGAAAGGTTGAGCAATTACTTTGTAATTGTTCCCTCTTATCCTTTAACAAGAATTATCCATTTAATTAATTAAATCGGGTCAGACAAACCGGGTCAGGTCAGGTCAGTCCACATGGGTGACCCACGACCCAAAACTTACATTAGGGTTATTTCAAAAGGTAACACTTTCAACATGATTTTTTTCATGAGGTCGAACCCCGAGACTTCTAATTAAGGGTGGAGGTATTCCAACCATCCAATGCAACAAGTGGCAGAGCCACACCTGATAGACACCCCTTTGTCAATAATTATATTGTATAGTTAGATAAAAATATTTTTTTAATGTATACATATTACGTATTGACACTCCTTGACTTCTACACGATTTTACTTCTTTATATTTTAACACCCCTCAATCAAAATTTTAGCTCCGCCACTAATTATGCAACTACAACTCATATTAGTTGCCATAGTTCTTATTGGTTAAATAATGTCTTGATCTCAAATTAATTGAGATTGTCCTCTATATACCATTAGAAGTTAATTGGACAAATCTTGATTTTTTTTGAACTATTAGTCATTGTTAGTTGAAATAATAAAACTATGATATATTGGTTGATTATTTCTGGCACATGATTTCCAGTGAAGCCTCCACACACCTCTCTGCATTCATCTTGATAATTGAGAATTATAAAGGTCCCAACAATTAGAATCCTAGCTAGAACTAGAATGATTGAAAAGACTATTAATTATATTACAATAATATGCATTATTTTATGCTCAAATAATTAATTTCATGTTTCAAAGTGTTTGGACAATTGGACCTATGTCATATTAAGTTGAGATATGTCATATAAATATATGTTAATTAACTTAATATATTATTAAGATATGTTTTATAGGTCTAACAAAAAAAGATATGTTATTTGGTATAGCCACTTATTGGGTTGAGATATGCTTCCATAGTCTAGAGGTAATTAATGTTTGCATGCATCAATGTTTACATTAAATCAAATAATTTAATTTTTGTAATTAGTAATTAAACTGAGCTTAATATCTTTTAAATTGTGCACGAAGTTAAATATTGTACGTTTCTTGGTATGGTATATATACATATCAAGTGTTGGTAATTAATTACCAAAGGAACTATTAGTACGTATAATCATCTGATATCCGATATCTAGTGGATTAACTAATAAAAACCATCCATATCTTTTGCACAACCTTAAATCTTAATTACTAAGTTAGTTTTCTCAATTGCTTCTACTTCGTTAAAGTTTAAATATTATCATAAAAATAATATTTGACTTATATACTTGTGCTTTAATTTTACTATTGTTCGCGTTATTAGTGAATAGTATTCCTCTCCGATCATTATAATTTTTGTTAGCGTTTATCTTAAGATAATGATGCTCCCACCATCTATAAATACTGAGTTTGTCTTTGAGTGAAAAAGATCTTATTCATTCCACCACATTACTCATAATTAAAAGAAGTTTCTCTTTCTATTTTTATTGGTATAACCACTGGTCCGATTAATTTAATTCACATTATATAAGACCAACTTTATAATATTTTACCAAACGATCTTTATGTTTCTAATATTAGTTGATTGTGTTTAAATTGATCAAAATCAGATAACAGCTGTTCCATGCTATTCAGATCCATTTGTTTCCAATATCCAAGAAATGGGATAATTAAACAAAAATACGATAATAAAAACTATACTTTAGTGGTAAAAGAATACAAATAAAGCCCATAATTTACTCTGTAAACCAAGTAATTCACACAATCACATGCCCTTCTATTTTTCACAATAGCTGTATCCTAATGGATATTTCATAACATACATGTTCAGATGTGGTAATCAAAGTTAGATCTTATTTTCATAAATAAAATGGTTGTTTTAATTGTTATTTAAATTTTATCGTATTGTATCGTTAGGTAATAACGAAAAGTTCCATTTGCGTAATGACACTTATTTGGTGTGATTGCGTCGTTTCCCCCCCCCCGCCCCCCTCCCTCATATTTTGTCTTTATTTTAAATTTAATAAATATATCTTATCTTTTATCTTACCTTTTAATAGTAATTCTAGCACGTACTCTACATTTCTTGTAGGTTTTTGCTACAAATTATTGATGTGTGCATTTTTGTAACAATTAAAAACAATACAATCTATTTTCCTCCATCCCAATTTATGTGGCATTTTTCGTTTTTCGAGAGTCAAACAGTTTAAGTTTGACCGGGAATTTGCACATGAAATCTTCAATTTTTTTGAAATGAAATTTATATATTTGTAAACTACGTAAAAAGTACTATAAGTCACAACAATTAATAATTCAAAATGTTTAAAAGATCTATGAAAAAATTACGGTCAAAGTTAGACTTGTTTGAATCTCGAAATCTAAAAAGTGCCACATAAAATAAGACGGAGGGAGTAAAACATATATTTTAACTTGGCATCAACTTATATATATGACTTCCAATTTTGAGTATGCACATGCAAACACTTAGATTTATAAAAAATTGAACAAATAGATGCATACATCTCTACGTGGCAATTCATGTCTTATGTGGCATCCTACGTGTATTAAGTCACGTAGAATGCATGTGTCTACTTGTTCAACTTTATACAAGTTTAAATATCTATCTGTTAAAATACACGTCGAAAAAAACAGGACCCCACGCGCAAGCAATTATTATGGTTCACAATAATTGTGAATAAACTAAAGATTCCAGCTCACATTCCTTTGTCTCCAGTTGCCCCATATTCCTCTCATAACAATAGATCCTTCCTACTATGCTCTACTCAATATTGCACCTATAAAAAGGTTCATTTAACCAAACCAATAACATCAACATTTCATACTTTTTCTTTTAACAATTTCATCTTAGAAAATGGCTTCTAAATTTTCATCAACATTGCTTCTTCTTCTTTCAATACTAATGAGTATCCAATTACTAGTCTCAGCTGGTAATTTCTACAAAGATGTAGACATTACTTGGGGCGAAGGACGCGGTAAAATACAAGAAGGCGGTAGAGGTCTCGCCCTCTCTCTTGATAAACTTTCTGGCTCTGGCTTTCAATCCAAAAATGAGTTTCTTTTTGGAAGGTTCGATATGCAAATTAAACTTGTCCCTGCAAACTCTGCTGGCACTGTCACAACTTTTTTCGTAAGTTTAAGGCCTCTTATTATAATTTGAACTCTTATTAATATCTTCATTCTTATAATAACATGTCATCATGCTCATGATGGATTGTTTTTTTTTTTTTCTCTATTAGTTATCTTCACAAGGAGAAGGACATGATGAAATCGATTTCGAGTTCTTGGGCAATGTCTCTGGCCAGCCTTACACTATCCATACCAATGTATACACACAAGGAAAAGGAAACAAAGAACAACAATTCCATCTTTGGTTTGATCCAACTGCCGCGTTTCACACTTACACCATTGTCTGGAACCCTCATCGCATAGTGTAAGTTACACAAAATCACCTCACAATGTGTACTCTGAGTTTTTACACTATCAGATCACCTAAAAGACTATAAGTCAGATAACGTGCTACAACATGTTAAAATGTGTGACAATTCGTTATACATGTCAAATGTATATAAGTTAGATTCATATTTTCTTAAGATGATTAGTGTTACTACATTTGATCTTACCAATTTTTTTTATATATTCAGGTTCTTAGTAGATAACAGTCCAATTAGAGTGTTCAACAACCACGAAAGCATCGGAATTCCATTTCCAAAGAGTCAAGCAATGAAAGTATACTGCAGTTTGTGGAATGCAGATGAATGGGCAACACAAGGAGGCAGAGTGAAAACAGATTGGGCACTTGCACCTTTCACTGCTTATTACAGAAACATCAACATTGATGGTTGTGCAGTATCATCAGGTACTTCTTCATGTAAGTCTATCGGTTCAACAAACAACGCGAAGCCATGGCAGACACATGAACTTGATGGTAAGGGACGGAATAGGCTCCGGTGGGTGCAGAGCAAGCACATGGTTTACAATTACTGTGCTGATTCTAAGAGGTTTCCTCAAGGCTTTTCTGCTGAATGCAAGAGTTCAAGATTTTAATAAATGAGATGAGTGAAATTCTTTATTCTTTTGTACCAATAAAAGGTTTTTGTTGGCTACTTATTTTGTTGTTGTGTAATTGGAATTCATGTTTGCCCTTTTGTTATCTTAAATAGAACAACTTTGACATTTTTTGTTCAACTTTTGGTTCATTCATATCCTTGTCGTTCACAAATTCGTCTAGTATTTGTATTTGTCATTAACGAAACTCCAGTACAAAATTAATGAACTCCACGTGTCCAAGTTCTTTGAGAATTAAAGTTTCAACTTTTTACTATAGTTTAAAATTACACTTGGGACAAGGGCAAAACGAGACATTTCCAAAAGGTGGAGGAAATTGCTTAGTTTTTCACATTACAAGGGCAAAAAATTGACCTTTTCTCCAAATGTGTTATAAATCACTAGTTTTTTTTTTTTTAAAGTAAAAAAAATGTTTTTACTCTTCGTATTGTAATAGTGAAAAATCATCCATTAAAGATGAGAGAAGTATTGAAAACTTCTCTGAACTTGGCGCAAATTATTGACTTTGTCTCTGAACTATTGATAGCCTTAAAAACATTTCTTTACTTGACTAACTAAACTTAGATATACCCTCGATCTACCTCATGACATAGCAAGTGGTTTCAAACTCTTGTAGGACCATGAAATTCTTAATAAAAAGTCGAGAGAAGTGTTGAAAACACCCTTAAACTTGACGAAAATTTAAGGATGTATTTCACTCATGTTGCAAGATCAGAGGTGTATTTAAGTTTCTGTTATTTTAATTCTTTAGGGGGACAAGAACTTATTTTTAGTTCTTTTTTTCCTTTCCTAGATCTGATATTGAATGACAAAGAGGATCTTATCTCAAAGAAGCACACAACTTTAAGATGCAATTGGCAGAATTAGAAATAAGTAATATAATGTGATATTTCACATGTATATTAATTTTACAACCAATAACTAATAAATTAACCAGACATGGATCTAGTCAAAGACATTATTGCACACTACTAGATTTCTTGTCTATCTAGCTATTTTGATTCCTATACAAATTGATTTAAGTTATACTCCCTCCGTCCCTATTTACTTGTCCATATTTCCTTTTTTAGTTGTCCCTATTTAGTTGTCCATTTTGACAAATCAAGAAAGGACAACAAAATTTTTCCTATTATACCCTTATTTACACTTCTTGAAAATTGTAAAAGTGTATGTTGTTTCCCTCCAATTTATTTCACTTTAATTCAAATAAGTGGTTGTAATTTTGAAGTGAAAAGTTGTCATAAGGGTAAAATTGTAACTTCACTGTGCTAATCATTGTTGCCTTAATCTGTGTGTCATTTCTAAAGTGGACAACTAAAAAGGGACGGAGGGAGTATATTTTATTGGTGTAAAATAAATTTGTACTATTAGTCTAGTTTAATCAATCGTTATATATTACTATTTTGTTTAATTAGGGGTGTATTTCAATCACATTGCAAGATTAGATTCAACGACTATTAGGGGTGTAAAACCTAATAATTTGTTTTCTTGTTGGATTTGACATCACAACTAGATCCTCAATAGTCAGCCTATGATCTCATTCAATTGAGTAAAAGATACATATATCTATGCACAAATACATGAATCTGGACAACTATATCTTCATCTTCAACTTTTTCTAAGTATATAGTAAAGACATAATTACACCAAATACATGTATCTACGGATAGATACATATATTTGAATAACTATAACTTCGTCTAGTTCTTAGTATGTATTTATGCACAAATACACTAGATATGTCACAAAATTGATATGAAATAGATGTATTTATGTACGGATACACCAAATACATCACATATACACGGGATATAATTAGAACCAGTATGTAACTATGCACAGATACACTGATATATCAATGCATTTTTTTCATACTGGATACACACAAATACACTGGATACATCAATGCATACTTGATACTATATACATAAATACATGAAAGTGTGAAACAAAGATACAAAGAAGTAGAGGGATGAGGGAAGGAGAGAGGTGAAACACATTCGTTAGATACTGTGTATCTAGAGGCAACTTGATAAAAAAATGAGTAATTATTGAAATGAAGCCTCCCTAAGTTCTTATAGGCCCAATGATTATAAACCTCTTGTCAACAATATACACTCAAGCCCAAATTTCTCAAAACCTCATCAAATTTCCAACCAAAAGTCTTGTCCCTCAAATTTGAGTGGCTACAAGCCAAAGACAACATTCTTGTTACCCCACCCTGTTTTCTGTGACAAATGTAGAATGTACAAACATGGAGATTCCATTAAAACTTTACCTTATCTATACACATTATACATACACTTCCTTAATCAAACAACAACAATAAATTTTTTGGTGGATTCTTGATTATGCAATCTACTTCAATTACACCATGGCACACTTACTTCCATTACATTCCTAGCAAACTTCCCTCCAGACATTCCCTTCATTTCAAGAAAACACTTGTTACTTATACACACAGTTGTCACCAAGAACAAGAAAAACATAGTACTAGACAGAAAGATGTATATTGGCAAGAAATGAACTTTTCTGTTGAAAAAGAGAAACCCCATTACAGAAATGATGTAAAAGAGCAGGGAGTTGAAGTGATTGTTCGTTCGGGCATTCGATCGAATAGTTGGTGGGCAAGGATTAAAGCTGCATTGGGGCAGAGGATTAATGTGGAGGGGATTTCTTTTTCTGTTGGGATTTTTTATAAAGACAAGCATTTGGCAATCCCACATGTGTTTGTGCAAGACATAAGGTATATTGATTGGGCTGAGCTGAAGAGAAGGGGATTCGAAGGCGTGGTTTTCGATAAGGACAATACAATTACTGTTCCTTACTCTTTGAATTTGTGGTCTCCTCTTGCTTCATCAATGGAACAGTGTAAATCTTTGTTTGGCAACAACATTGCTGTTTTTAGCAACTCCGCGGGTAATTACATTAGGAATTCGTATTTGGTATCGTGTTTTTTCTTGTAACTTTGAAGTTTAAAGGTGTTTCTTTTTTTGTTTTTCTGCAGAACTGAGTGTTTGATAATTTGGGAATTTGTAGGACTGGCTGAATATGATCCTGATGGTAGAAAAGCTCGGATTCTTGAACGTGCAATCGGAATTAAAGTCATTAGGCATAGTAAGTTGTTCCTCTCTATGCATATGCTATTTGTGTGATGGTGTTTGATTAGGACATATTTAAGACATTATGTGCTATTTTCTAACATTGAAAGTAAGCAAGTATTGATTGAATGTTGGTTTAATAGGGAAAGCATCGCGTTAAAGTTTGAAGTATGACGAATTACATGAATTTGAATTCTTGAAAGATATGAAGTTTGTGTAGAATAATATTATTAGCTGAATAGGGCCAAACATGTGCGTAATTAGAAGCGGAGCCAGGATTTGAAGTTTATGGGGTTTGAACTGTCATTGCACCCATAGCTTGTCTTTGTTATTGGATTAGCGATTAAATATTTATGTATACTTCATAGATTTCCTCATACAAATACAAGGTCTAAGCAAAAATTACCGAGTTTGTTTGAACCCACTTCGAATATTCTACCTCCACCCCTGTGTGTAATATAAACTTTGATGGGGAGTATAAATTGTCAAATCTCTTATTTACTATGGTAACCTTTGACTGGTAATTCTCTTTTGTCACTTAAACCCACCTCTATGTTTCTCGAACTCCTCAAAAATGGCCTTGGGTGCACGGCGGATCCTCCAAAACTAGTGTATTTTTAGAGGATCTGACACGGGTGCTGCAAAATTTTTGAAGAGTCCAAACAACATAGCCCAGCCTTGAGTTAATGCAATTTGTATATGCTGATTCTTTGACACTAAATTATAGGGTTGAAGAAGCCAGCTGGAACAGCTGAAGAAATTGAAAGGCAATTCGGTTGCAAATCCTCTAGACTTATTATGGTAGAAGTGGTTCTTCTTTCCTCTTTTTTAAGGTTTCGCGATCCTTTGCTCAGTTAGCATCCTTTGCAGGTGGGTGATCGGCCTCTCACAGACATAGTTTATGGAAACAGAAATGGTTTTCTTACTATTTTGACAGCACCGCTTAGTCTCTCACAGGAGCCATTTATTGTGAAGCAGGTTAGGCTTCTCAAACCTGCCTTCTCGGATGAGCCTAATTAAACTTTTTGTTAAATATAATGAATTATCTATTGGTTGCATTACTCCCCTGGCATCATGTGAGTTACAGAATTTCAACTTACTAAGGGGGTAAACGGAAAATAGATTATAGAACTGCTTTGACAGTTTCTGTTATAAGTTCTCTTGGACTATCAATCTTAAGCTTTTTCTCTAACTTCTATGTTTGCACTGAATTTTGGACCTACTCTTTTCTAATAAATGATTTCCGAACCTTATTATGTTTCGGATATGCAATATGCATTGTCAAATTTCCTGTGTTAGTTTGTGTTTACATGGAGCTAGCAAGTTGAGAGTTTTAATCTGATTCTCAACCTCTAGGTGCCGATAAGCTTTTTCAGCCTCTAGCTTTTTGTAAAAATGGTTTTTCAAAAGTAGGACCATTTCTCGATTTGTGCATGCCATCCTTGTGTAGGGGCCATGCTAATCTTCTTTGTATCGATCCTATTTTATCAGATGTCCCGGAAGGGACTTCTTAGCCATGTTTTCTTTTAGTTCTCTGACCCAGCCAGACATCGATAAGATTTCTTACTGGTTCCTGTTTAATTGTCTACTAATGGTTGTTCTTTACTGGATTTCATCTCTACGTTAAATCCTTGGTAGTGACGGTAGAGACGATGTCCCATTCTCCTATACTTGAAAATCTCAGCTAAATTTGGCACTTCTCTTATAATGAAATTGCAGCATTCTCTAGTAAAGACAACTCTGTCATCAAAGCAAATCTTCTTATACGTAAAACGGTTTTAGCATCTTGCTGTTAATTAGCCTGTTTGATATATCACCTGTTCGCTTCAAGCTACCTGTATTCAACAGAATTGGTATGTCTACTGAATAAACGAAAAAGTCTTTCTAAAACAGTCTCTCTACCATCTCAAAGGTAGGAAGGGGTAAGGTCTTTGTATACTCTACCCTCCTCAGACTCCACTTGTAGGATTACACTGGATTTCCTGTTGTTGTTGAATGGAGGAAAAACTAACGAGGCATCTTGGCAACCTTCGT